TCTTGCATCAGCCTCCCAGGTAGGTGGGACTACAGGCACTCACCACAATGCCTGGCTAGTTGTCATTGTTTAGGAGGCCCAGGCTATGTTCAAACCCACCAGCCTTGGTGTATGTGGCCGGCACCCTAACCACTGAGCATGGGCACCAAGCCAGCAAGTTTGTTTTTCAAGGTGCATTTTTGTTATAACTATTTCAAAAGAAAGTATAAAATTGCCTATTTTTATAATACCTTTTTTAAAAATTATGGCGAAATATACAGAACATGAAACTTACCATCTTTCCCATTTTTAAATGTACAGTTCAGTGGTGTGAAGTACATTCATATTGTTGCTGCCACCACCACCATCCTCGTCCAGTACTCTTTCCGTTTTGCAAAACTGAAACTATAACCATTAAACAAATCCCTATTCGTTCCTCCCCACAACCCACAGCAACCACCATTCTTCTTTCTATGAATTTGACTACTCTAAGTACTTCGCGTAAGTAGACTTATACAGTATTTGTCCTTTTGTGACTGAATAAACATCTTTTAAAATACAAATTGTGTATTTTCACCTCATGCATTTATAAACTCTAGGATGACTATGTACTTACATGTAGAGTACAATAATATGAATTTCTTAGGGTGCCAGGAGCATACATAAGTACACCAATTAATACCATCTGTCTTTGCCCAGTTTTGTGCAAGGGTAAAGCTTCAGACATCTTTTTCCAGAGAGACATAAAAATGATAGGAACAGATAATTGAGCATATTGTATGAAGACAGTAATAAGCCTATTTATTGTTGCTTGTAAATAGAACTTTAGAAGGATATTAGAATCATCCAGTACAATTAGTACTTTGATTGTACAAATGAGAAAACCTAAAGAGACAGGCAAAGTGACTGACTGAAGGTCATATAACAAAGGTAATGATGGAACTAGGTTTTCTTAATTCTGTGCTCTTCCCTTATGTGTTCATTAGTGTACTAATTAGTGTGATAATTCTTACGGTATAGCTAATTATGCCCTTGAATTTGAGACTAACATATGTAGAATAAAATAAGTAAAAGGTTAATGTTTCCTTAAAACAGGAAGCAATGAAGAACAGAAAAAAATTAACCTGTCTTAATTTTTATATTAAAGATTGTGTAACAGGGATATATATACACCATTGTTTCATTAAAGGAGACTTTAGACCATGCTAAATCCCTAACATGAATTTTAATTCTGTAACATTACATTGTTCTTGTCCTAAAGTTCAATGTATAATAAAACCTAGAACAGGTATGTTTCATTTTGTAAAAGTATTTTCTTGGAAGAATTTGTCAGTATATAAATAGGTGAATAATCATTTCTGCTAAAATTGGTGATATCATCCTCTTAAGATTCAGGGCCCACACAGACTATTCCATGGCAATCATTTTCATACTTCTATAATTGTACTTTCTTCAGTTTTTGTGAATTATGAATATAAACTGCTATACTGATAAATTATATATACTAAAACTTAACACAAAACCAGAGTTTTTAAAGAGAGTACCAAAAGTTAATGTAAATGTTTTCTTTTTATACACAGTGGATCACTTTGTGCATATTTCTCTTTGGAAATCAAAAGGCTTGGGGATATTAATAATGGTCACATTTATCTAATTCAATAACACTCTGGTCTATTACTACTGTAAGTAAGAACAGGATAAAATAAATGCATCCAGTATAGCATAACATTAAAGTACTTTTAGGTCTTTGGAATGACAACTTTTAAGAAGCTTTATAAACATGTTATTAAATCAGCTAACATTTAGCAGCTACAAATAAGAATATCCATCTACCAAGATAGAGATATTTTATTTAGATGTACTTATAAGTGCATGTAAAGCTAACTCATAATTTAAGAAGGAATATATTAATGCGACATACCCTATGTATGTTCCAGAGAGAGAAGTATTCATGGAGAGGCATAATCACTTCAAGATTGTAGGAGTCAACAGGGGAGGGAGTTGCAACTTTATTTATTTTTATTTTCATTTTATTTATTTATTTATTTTGGAGACAGAATCTTGCTCAGTTGCCCTGGGGTTGAGTGCCTTGGCATCATAGCTCACAGCAACCTCAGACTCTTGGGCTCAAGTGATTCTCTTGCCTCAGCCTCCCAAGTAGCTGAGACTACAGGTGCTCACCACAACACTCAGCTGTTTTTTAGACACGGGGGTCTTACTCTTGCTCAGGCTGGTCTCGAACTCCTAAGCTCAAGCAATCAACCTGCCTCGGCCTCCCAGAGTGCTGGGATTACAGGTGTGAGCCACCACGCCCAGCCCAGCAGTCATATTTATTTAAAGGTTGGTTGATTGGTTTGAGCTTTATAAGTTGAATACAGAGAAAGCATGTAAAATATTTGGGAGAAAATGAATGGATTGATTTTATTGGAGCACATGGTTTTTATAAAGGAAACTAATGGAAGGAAAGGTAGTAGATCAGGCTTCAATTCTTGAGGAGGACATTATTCCTAGCCAGATAAGTATATTGGACATCTTTTATTTGTAATGGAGAACTGCTAAGCAGAAATGTGATATTGGTATTTTAAGAAGATAGGATCTGTTGGCAATGTTTGAGTGCCAAGCACTATTCTGAGCACTCTTCAAATGTGAGACTCTGTGAGATAAGTACAATTGTTATTTCCGTTTCACACATGAGAATACTAAATCACAGAGACCTTTCTCAAGGTCACATAACTGGTAATCCAGGAAGTCTCTTTCTTGTAGCTGCGGCCATAAACAACTTGAATCTAAATTAAAAGTTCTTGCTCTGAATAGAAATGTGAGGCATGTAGACAAGAGACTGGACAAGAGACATGGGTAGAAGTTGACTGTGTATGGGGCAGGTGGGAAGTATCAAACAGCAGCCGATTTCATTCAGAACCACATGGCAACAAAACAAAATAGAGAAATCAAAGGCATTCAATCCATCAGTTTTACTTATAAAAATTTATTTGAAGGATATAATCATAGAAGAACAAAAAAAAGAAAAAAAATGACTTTAGAAAGTTATAAGAATGTTGATAACCATGTTTATGAAAGGAAACAAAGATTTGGAGGTTATTCAGGGAGACTTTCAAAAAAATTATTGGTATTTTCTAGATTTTCTTAAGCAATATGTATTACTTTTACAATACTAATTTATTTATTTATAAAAGGAGAATGCTAGTTTGGGAAAAGGATCGTTTTCGGGTTTAGTTACTAATTCACTCATTCATTCCTCAAGTGCCTACAGTATTTGCAGCACAATATCCCATCCTGATCCTGGCTAGATGCTGAGATAGAGTGATGAAAAGAGAGTGCAGTATCTCCCAGAAGTATTCATACCAGCAGGGAGACAATAAATAAATAATTACAGTGTAATATGATACAGAAAACATGCTTAGGAAATAGTGATTTGGGGAAAGAGCCATGTAGGTATGTTCTTTTTGAATCTGGGAAGTCATAACAATGAAATTATTATTTGAGTTAAGCCTTAAAACCTGCTGAGTTGACAGGTAAGCCAAAAGAAGGTATTTCAATAGAGGAAGCAGTAGCAGGTGAGGTAATAGTAACATATCCAAATGTAAACATCCAACTTTGGTTAGAACCAGGAGGGAGACCTCCATTCATGAGCCATCTGAGCACTGGTGATGCTTGAAGCTCGAAGAAAGTGTATGAGACTTCTGAAATAGAGTATCTCAGAGAAAGCCTTCTGAAGGCGCATAGAAGGGAAAAGATGCCAGTGGAGGACCTGGAGAAGTAGCAAATCAGAATATTGTAACGTGGAAGTCCAGGGACACAGTGAATGCTTAGTGGGATCCACCATCACAGAGAAATTCTGCCACTTCTTCCCAGTCTTTGTTCTGTGTTTTTATTGTTGTTTTAAAATTAGTTTGTTTTCTATACAGTTTTATGCCCTACCTTTTCAATAAGTGAATGAACTAATTGGTTAACCTATTTATTTTGGGCATTTGAGTTTTCCCTTCCACTCTAAGGAAGCAAAAGAAAAAAAATATTCTTTGTAAAGAATTCAGGAGAATGGCTTTATGAGAAAATGGATGCAAAGATAAAATAAATGTACTTATTCAAAAGTTAGCAAGCTGTAACAAAGATGGGCTGTAGTAAGCTGTAACAAAGCTGAACTAGCCTTGGAAAATAAGAGGAATTTCTTTTCATTTTGAAGCTAAAGGCAAAAAAGGCATGGGTTTTTATACAGATGTTTCTAAGATAGGAAAGAACAAAGCCTGATTAGATGACTTCTCAGTATATTAGTAGATGAGTCATCTGCTGACAGTGGAGGTAAGGAGGTGAAATTACAGGTTTTTTTAAACAAAACTTAAATATTCCTTTGGAATAGTATGAGGGTAAGAAGCAAGAGATTGTTGAACAGCAGTGAGGACCTAGTCAGGAGCTGATAGGAGGATTACAGAGCAGGACTCCACAGGTTAGGAGTGGAACAGGGATTGATTCCTGTCTCAAGGACTGTAGAACCTAGATAAAAGAATTTGGATGACAGACTACTTTTTCCCCTGTAATCCCAGAACTGGGAGGCCAAGGTGGGCAGATTGCCTGAGCTCAGGAGTTTGAGACCAGTCTGAGCAAGAGCGAAGACCCCATCTCTAAAAAATACCTGGGCGTTGTGGCAGCCACCTGTAGACCCAGCTACTTGAGAGGCTGAGGCAAGAGAATCACTTGAGCCCAGGAGTTGGAGGTTGCTTTGAGCTATGAGGCAACAGCACTCTACCACGGGTGACCAAATGAGACTCTGTCTCCACAAAAAAAAAGACTACTTTTTTCACAGAATATACTCTTCAAAACTTAGAGCCAGAAGAGGAGATGTGTTTAAGTTCAATTTTGATGATACGAATAAAAAACAAAACGGAAATTTTAATATATGTGTACAACACCACCAAAATTAAGTGTTTATTATAAGCATTGTTTGATAAGTCATAAAACATTAACCTCATACTTCCATTTTTTAACAGGAAGAGAGAGTAACTCACCTTCATTGAGAAAAGTTACTGGTGGTATCTTGAAAGGGCTTTTGGTGGGAGAAGTTGCCAGATCGGGTGGTGGCATGACATCTCTGGGATAACCTGGATCCCTCTGTATCTCATTACCTCCCAGCAGACCAGGAGTGTACTGATGACTGTTAGGGATATGTTGTGGCACCACCTGGACGAGAGGGGGAGACACATGGGTGTCTTGTCGGGAAAATATCCTCAAGCACTGTTCTTCCAACAAAGTGATCATCACAGACTGGTTATTGACAAGATCGGTCAAGGAAGCGTATTTCACCTCTAGTTCCCTGTACCTTGTTGCCATCTTCAGCATTTCTGTGGTGACATTGAGGATTTTATTTTCCAACTGGGAAAGTTCAAGTGAATTATCCCTCTTACGGATAATCTCATGTAGTAGTTGCATATAGAGTTGAGTAACTCGAGAGTTCATGTTACGGCTTTCTTTTCTCAGCAGCTTTACCTCATTTACAATGTTTCCATCTACATCCACCACCAATTGCAAGACATCGATCTCCCGCTTCTGCCTGGATAGCACATCCTTCAGATTTTCAAGGTCCATCCTGGTGATCATGTCTTTAATGGTACCTGCATCTTGCCCTTTGGTATTGACACAGATGGGCCCTGTTATTTTTTGTTCAGGTACCAGGAACGTATATGCACACTTCTTTACTTCCTCTTTACCATCTGTGGCACGAGGGTGTCTTCTCTGGGGTATTTTTTTTATTTTGAACTGTCCTCCTCTGCAATGTCCAGTGCCCATTAGTAGGAAGAATAACACACCTACGGTCCAGATAAAAGGCTTCATTTTGAAATGAGGTTGTACGACAGCGTCTTTTGAAAAATAAAAAATGAGTGAAGGGAAAAAGTAAAAAAAAATATTATATTAATCTGCTTATAAAGACATGAAAAACTAAGGGGGAAACTCAGTATTTATTGGTATTAATAAATAGGCTAGGTTAATTGTATTAACTTCCTCAGTTCACTATTAAGTTATGGTACTTTGGCATCTGCTTAGAGATTAGGTTTCCGAGAATAGCTCTTCCAGCCATCACCTCACTGTAATGCTTCTCGCTCTCCAGCTCACTGAGCAGATTTTGATCAATGCCACAGTGTGCTCCTGGGGCTTTTAAGATCCTAATAAGACAACTTTCTTAACGTTCAAAAAGTTTGCTACCTTAAGACCATGAAAATCGCATACAATGTTAGTAAAGCATTAATTAAAACATTTCTGCCTAACTAGTATTAAAATTACTGGGTGACTTTACTATTCAGTGTTTTAGATTCATACGGTACAATTTCAATTAAATTGGTCCTCTGTAATAAATATCATGTCTTTCTGACGTATCAAAGGAAAACATCTTAGACAAATCTCAAACCAGACAGTTTTAGCATCGTCTGTTGTTTTTGTTTTTGTAGCATCTCTTATTGGGATTGTTGACAGGCTCAAGAATGGTAGACCACACAAAGTCATGACTGTGGGTAATTGTGTTTCCTGAACCACAATTGCGTATATGCTCTAAGCTTACAGGTGATTCAGCAGGTTTGTTCTTTTAATAGAGCTTCTCTTGACCTGTACTTTAGTGAAATATTAATAACTTTCCACAGCCAAGGAAAGAAACGTATGTTAGAGTCGGAAAATGCCTTAGAGATCATCTCATTCAAAGACCTCTTTGCACCCATGTTGAAGGCCAAGGCCACACAAATTTTACAACCTGGTCTAGATCAGGTTCTCTGACCCTCAGTAAGTATTCATAGCAGCTATGTATTTGTTAAAATGTGTGCTTGGAATGTTTTGTTTTTGCTGTGGGATGTGAGAAAATACTTATTCTTTAGGGTACAGTTTTTTCTGAGATAACACTAGCACTAGTTACAAAAGCCAAGATTTCTTCCTTTCTCTTAAGTTACTTCCCCAAAGTGTAGTAGTAGTAGAGTGGGTAACGTGTTCACCCCATCAGGTTGACTAGCAGGTTGCTGTATGGCAGCCTGCTTTCCCAGTCTTACAAACGTGATTCCTATGTGCTGTTTTTGCAGAATGGCAGTGGCTATCCTAAGATAGAGCTTTTTTATTCAATTTCCCCCCTAACTACTAGTTTCTTGATTTAAGAAGCCAGGTTCTAAGTTGTTTATGCCTATTATTGACAACACTATAGTAACAGTAGTTATTACTTATTTGAAAGCTGACAGACACTGTTTTAAGCCCTTTTCACATTTTTTACTTGTCACCACGACCCTGTGAGATAGATTATGATCCCCATCTTCAGATGAAAAAACTTGGCACCCAGAAGTCAAGTACCTTATTATCAAGAGTTGCACAGCTTCTAAGCAACAAAGACAGAATTTGAACCCAGAACTAGAGTTTATGTTTTTAATTAACAACACATTATATGGCCATATATTCCAAACTGTTTTTCATCAACAACACTGTGGCGATCCCTTATATTTATGTAGCATTTAATACCTGTTAACTACTGTATTTGCATTCACAATAGTACCATGAAGTAAATGCTGTATCATTTTACATAGGAACGAAGTCCTGGAAAAGCTAAACTGCTCAAATGGGATTCCAGTCTTCTACTTCTAACTTTTCTGGATCTCCTATTTTTATCCTTACAACTACAAAAGAGTCTTAAGTTTATGTTTCTTGTTTTTGGCTACCTTTCCTGACTGATATCTCTCCTCATTGACTAGTTACTTATTTAAGCACAAGCATTTGTGGATTATTTTTGCTATAATTTCTTCCCATTGTTTTTATATCCCAGACTTTATGCTGTTCCTCCTTTCCCTCTGTATCTGTCAGTTGATAGTTATATCTCTAACTCATGATTGTAGGTCCCTCCCAGAAATAAAGATTATGTCAGTGCAATATAGAGTCTTCAGCTATAGTTATGAAGACTTGCTACTTTCACTTTCTAAAACCTGTCTCCTTATGTTTGGTGTTTGCAATTTGGGTCATTTTCACAGTAGATAGACAACTAAAACAAAAAATGGGTGGAGTGTGGAGAATTTTTGTTTTTATCTAACTTAATCAAGATAGGATGGCTTAAGTGGGGAGAATGAGCTTATTAATTCATATTTCTAGCAAGGCCTTTAAAAAAAAAATATGGGAGTCATCATTGATCCAAGGCTGCCTTTTGCTGACTAATATCCATGGATGAATAATTTTAGTACAAGAGTTACTTATATATATATACCCAAACCAAAAAAGATGTCTTATTATATTTTCAGATTCATGGAATTTATATATGGTTTCTTAAATGTAGAGACTTTAAAATAAAATATAAGCCATCGGCCTTCTGGGTAAATATAGAGAGGGTGCCAAAAAAATGTATACACATTGTAAGAAAGAAAAAAATGTATTAAAATTGTAATGCTCCATATATACAGATAATGTTTGTTATCATGCATATTGTACCTCGTATCTCTTGTAAATTGCAGCAGTTAAATGTGACTTGAGTGTTACAACTTTAATGAATTTTTTTCTTTCTTAAAATGTGTATACATTTTTTAGCGCCCTCTGTATTTCATTTCTTCTACATATTTAACTTAACGCAGTGCTAAAGTTCACTTGTTCTGGTTTAATAATAGAATGGAAACTCTTAGATCATAAAGATATTTTATTTAAATAATTGCTGCTATGAAATAAGCTACCAAAACACGGAAGATTCAAAAAGTATCATGAAACTTCAAAACACATAGAATTATAACTTATGTTAATACCAGACACGTGTATAGACTTATAGAGCAGCTGAACACTTACTCTCCAAGACTGCTCTTATGACTTTGAATCAGTGTTACCATTGAAGAACAAAACATGTTAAAATGGTGGTAAACAGCTTCCTTTTGTGTATTCTGATTAAACTGTAACATAAATCACTATCCACCATAAGAGAATCTGATCTAAGTTAGTATAAAGAAGCAACTAAAAGTTTATTTTTAAAAATATATACAATTCCCTTCTCCTTACAAAAATCACTTAAAGTAGGGCAGGGAGCCACATTTCTTAAGTAGTAGACTAGCTACGTCATGCATAAAGAACTGGCTTTAAAAATACATTTACTGTTAGATTTTCTAAAAACATTCTCTTTAATATTTTCCCACATATGTTCAGTTTTAAAGTGAAAGATTCATAAATCTATGTTACCTCATAAAACCTTTCTGTGTATGTTAAAATTTTCCTATGTCCCAAGAGAATGTTATAAATTAGTTACAGTATACTTAAATTAACAATGTCTTTGCTTGGTTGTTTTTAGAAAAGGAAAAAAAAGTCATCTGTGCATTGGGTTAATGTTATTAATACTATTTCTCTTCATAGTTGCTACATGGCCAGCTAGTAGAGAAAAGAAATAAAAGTCTGGATTTACTTCCTTTCAGATGGTAAACTCATAGAGGCATTTAACTGTCTGGGTCATGCACTGAAAACAGCAAGAGCCAGTGAAGTTAAATTTATGAAACATTGAGGATATGTTAGATAAAGAACTTCTGGATTGTGAAATATGTTCTGGGAAGAGACTTGAGAAAGTCTAATCCCTAGGATACATTTAAGAAAGGGATGAATAGTTATCTGTCTGATTCGAGTTTCAGATTATATGCTTGCCTGAGGCATCAGGAATTGCTGAGGCTTTCTGAGGTCCTGTTCTTTACATCGCAAGCAACAACAAAAATGAGAAATGACGGTAGTTTAGATCCAGTACTGCTTAGAAATTTTATCTGAATTTCTTATAAAATGGGTTTAACAGATCCTTGCGGTATTTAGAGCTTGGAATCTTTAAAGAAAGGACTTGAAAACAAAGTTGAGAAAAATGTTGACTTTACTGTTATTTGCTATCAGAGATTCTTACCCATAAATATATTTAATTTTTAAAAGGCCAGGGGCTCCCCAAATCAAAACAAACTTACGTGTCTTTGATGTTAAAGCTTATTATTGGTAACTAGTAATTTTACTTTTAATACTTTCCATAGCAATTTAAAAAGTCCCAGACAGAACATTGAAGGCAACCTCTTTTGTTTGATTACCAAAATTTTTTCTATCTGAAATTATTCTATAACTTTGGCCTTTTAATCTTGTATGTAAGTAATTACATCTTCTGGGCTTGTATTTTCTATTGTTAATGCTCAACTACTTACTTAATAATACTGTTTTGTGTATATCAATAACTGCTTTTTCAAGTAATTCCATTTGTCACAGTTTTAGTTTCTGTTACATGTAAACCTGGAAAACTATTTAAAATTTTGATTTGTAGCAAGAAATACTATAGATTTATCTAAATTTGTACAAGAATTTCTGCCTGGTATTTGGTTATACTATACATGAGTTTTTGTTATTTTTGTATCTTCTTACCTTTGTTTTGTAACTATGCTTTGAGAAACCCTGGAGTTTGTGTCTGTCTTCAGCACAAATGCCATAGCTATGAGAAGAGAAACTAATTCTGTTTACAACTATTTTCTTTAGTTTGTATTCCTTTGTTTTTGATCATTGTGCCATAAACTTTAAACATTTAATCTGTTACTTGTTAAAAATCTCTTTTCTAGTTTCACTAAAGCATTAGTTTTTAGAAACCCAGCACGCATGCATGTGTCAGTCTGTAATCATATACACTAAATATTATACCAAATCAAACCTCAGATAATGAATTAACCATCATAAAGTATTTGATGTTTCCACATAAAGTTGCGAAACAAACCTTTTTTGATGACAAATTACAGTATATTCTGAAGTTCTTTGTTTAATAAGAAATTCTGAAACATCTACAAATATAAAATAATTATGCATGTTTATATACGTAATATTCTTAAACAAAAACAAAAGAAACATTAAATACCTT